TTTATGGTCCGCAGGTTTATTCGCAAATGTGAGTCACAGCGCCGTGGCATTTTACTTGATATTAGAACGAGTACTAGACGAGAACTGCAAATATATTAATTAACATATGAAATAAAACTATTTATAACACGACGGTTTAATAATTAAAATTTTAACACTTCAAATAAAAGTTATAAGTTTAAACTTCATTTAAAATGTAGAATCTGTCGTTTTATAAACGTATAAATTAATAAAGTTATTATGACAAAATAAAGAATATTTTTAATAAATTATTATAATTTTAAGGGCAATTTTTTTTTTTATTTTTTATTTTTATTTTAAGTTTCTTTTCTTCTTTTTACTTCTTTTTTTCTTTCCTCACTTCCCATCCATTCATTATCTCTCACCTTCTTCCCACCACACCTCCCTCTCCATGTCATTAGCAATACCCTATGCCTTTATGCTTGCCCTCTCTCTACCTTTTTCATCTTAGTCAACAAAACTTCCACACTCCAATCCCTTCATCCCCCTACACACCCTTTACTCTCGTTTACTTGTACCTCCCTCTTTAACCCTCTCCCATTCCCCGATCCAAGTGTCCCCCACACCCTTTACAAATCAAATCCATTCCTACCAATTCTCTAATATTTCTAACGATTCATTTCACTTTAAACACACTAATACGGCAACCAAAAACTTTTCCTTTGCTCCTTATTACATACAAACAAACGAAAAAAGTGTCAGGACCATATCTCTCATCTCGCTTTCAAGTCTCTCCTCGCTAATTTTTTCTCATATAATGTTCCCATTTACTTTCGTCTATGCACATTATTGGAAATAGTGGCAATTCAAAAAATAAAAATAAAGCATACAAACATTCCAATCATCAAAGAGCTCCTATCATCTAATGTATATATACATATACACGTATTATTTTCTTACTTAACTCCCATCTTTGGCAAACAAATAGTCCATCCATTTTTTTCTTATGTTGAAATATACATATTGTTTTTCTCTAAGACTATTATTTTTTCTTATCCTATAGATTTTAATTTGCTCATTTTTACCCTCATAAAGTATAGTTGCACGTTAAATTTACCTTTTTCATTATTTCATAATTAAATCATTGACGCATAATATAAATTTTAAAATCGTTACTATCGTTTGACGTTTGTTAATAATTAAGATATAAATTGATAAATATATTTTACATTGAGAATAAAGTTGTTATTCTTTAAAAATAATAAACATGTTATATTACATACAAATGTTAAGAATGTTAATATGATTTTGTATTATTACGAGTTAACAATGTAGTTAATATGGTTTAATTAAATAAAATATATTTAATTGATATAATTTTTTAAAAAAATTTTGAATCTATGAATAAACTATATATAATTAAGTTTTAAAAGTCGGCCTTGTAGTATGATCAGAATGTTCATTCAGAATATTTTTATATAAAAAATATATATACTTAAAAAAAATTGCATTAAGTGTAGGTACATTTTAATTTAATTTAATTCACATATTTGGATCATAATTAATTTAACTATCTTCGTACTTTTAATTTTACTTGTGTAATAATTAATTATAAAACTATCGACACAAACTTTATTTCGAATTATAACATTATTTTATTTAAAATTTTATCGTATTATATTCGAGATATATATATATATATGTATGTATGTATGTATGTATGTTTTATAAACAATAAAATTTAAATCAAACTTAAACCGATTTATTATTTATTTTATAATAATTACAAAACGACAAAAAAACTCGTGGGGGGAGGCGGGAGGGATAATGATGACGACACACATTTAAAACGGGATGATGATGACGTAATGTAAATTATCAAAAGCAAATAAGATTTTACAGCGATTTAATATTAATTTATAATATATTTATAAAATTTAAATTCATAATTTTTAAATAAATAAAAAGCACAAATTACTGTATATTTAAGTAAAATAAAATACTTGTTGTTCCTAACAAAGAAAATTATTAATTATATTTTATTTTAAAATTTAAAATATATTTTAATTAATTTTAAATGTTTTTAATTGATTATTTGACCCGGACTGCAAAGCCGAGACGATGATGTTCTACATCTGAGCCACGCCGAGGCCGTGGGGCTCACACGTCACTACACCACACCATTTCTGACCGTCACCTCCACCGTGCTCTGGCAGCTGGACCCACTTTGCATCTTTTCTTTTTAAATTATTTAATTTTTTTATAAAAAATATAAATATATATATTGCAGGGTCTGAATGCAAAGAATCTCTGAACACCTCATCTCCTCTACACAAACCCTCCATTCCCTCCTCCTTTCTCTCCCATCCACATATTCTGCTTCCATTTCATCACGTGAAATTGCCACATCATCAACCCCTCAGAAAATTAATATTTACATTAAGAACCCACCCAAAAGGGGCAACAAAAAAAAAAAGAATATCTTCTAATTATCTAAAACTTGGTGATGCCTGCTGGGCCAGCGCCCACCGAATCTCTCCCTCCGCCCATCCATTTATCGCGTTTTTATATATTTTATTAAATGGTAAAAATATTTTAAATATTGTTTTAACTTTTATTTATTTGAGACAAAAAGGTGGGAAAAGAAGAAGCGAATTATTGGGGGAGAGGTATGGATAGACGTGAGGAGTGGGGTCCACTTTGCCACGTGGGATGATTGTTCCAGGTGGGTTCACGTGGTTTCAGGTCCCGCTGTGGATCGGATTCCTCCACGTAGGACGGATCAGAATCTGGCTTCTCAATAGTCCCTGGTGACACGTCATTCCTCAATCTCTCTTGAAAATATCTTTGAAATAGGGTAAGCCACTTACGTTTGACACGTGGAAGAGATGGACGGTTGTAGCGCGGTAAAAGAACGTCCACCACTGGTTTATGGTCACGCAAGATCGCACGTCGCCCCATTAATTGATTCAGTCTACATTTACGCTGGGACCTTCCACGTGGCAAAATATTATTCGAACCTTGATCTTGGCGCACTGAGCGAAATCCTGGGGACCCGGAGCTCCATCACCACAATAATTTAGGAAATTGCAAGATTTTCTTTTTTTTTTTTTTTTTTTTTTGTGAAAAATATTTTTTACCGTACCATGAAAGAAACACAAAAGAAAAAAGTAAAATTCCCACTAATATTTGAAATGACAAAAGTACCCCTGTAAAAAAAACTGCTCCATAAAAAGCGAAAAATTAGGGCATTATTGCTGGTGCGAGTGCAATTTGCAGTTTCTTGTATTCCTATCTCTGATTATTTACAAAGAAAAGAGAATTAGAGAAGAAAAAGAAGAGAGTGGAAGAAGAAGAAGAAGAAGAGAAGAAATGAAGAAGTGCGAGCTATGTGGAGAGGGAGCCAGAATGTACTGCGAGTCGGACCAGGCGAGCTTGTGCTGGGACTGCGACGAAAAGGTTCACTGCGCCAACTTCCTGGTGGCGAAACACACTAGGTGTCTCCTCTGCCACGCCTGCCAATCTCTCACGCCTTGGAAAGCCTCCGGACCTAAGCTCGGACATACAGTCTCTGTTTGCGATGCCTGCGTCTCTCTTCACTCTAATAACACCCAGCAACACCAACAACAACAACAACAACAAGTGGACAATCAAAGCCAAGAAGCGAACAGTCACGACTACGATCAGGACGATGATGCAGAATCTTCCGAAAGTTTTAAGGACGGCGATGAGGACGAGGAGGATGAGGAGGAAGAGGACTATGTTGATGATGAGGATGATGCGGAGAATCAGGTGGTTCCTTGGTCTGGTAACTCAACATCGTCCCCGCCGCCTCCTGTGTTGAGCTCGTCTTCTTCGATGAGCAGCAGCGAGGAATTGTTTTCGCGTGGTGTTGTGCTGAACAAGAGAATTAGAAATAATCCCGATCTCCTGTACTCTGATGTAAGGATTTTTGCATTTCCTCTTTTGATTTGAATTTGTTCCTTTAGTCGTTCTGTTTTCCGTACTTAAAATTAAGTCCTGTAGAAACATAATCATGTTACAAGGATCCTGATTAACTCTTTTGAAACTTGAAATTGTTTTTTTTTTTTTTCAACCGATCGGCTTTCTCTTCAACTCCTTCAAATGATTTTCCTCTCGTTTTCTATGTCTTCTTATTCCTCGCATTTTCTCGCAAGCAAAAAAAGGCTTAACAGGATGATATATTATATGATTCAGGATGAGATGGGATGCTCCTCGTCACAAGTTGCCGGTGACGATGTTACGTATTTCAGACCGCTGAAGCAGAAGAGGACAACGGAGCCGAACCGATCAGCAGGAGGCCAAGATCACGCCGAAACAGAATCGACATCAACGGCTGCCATTACCTCACTCAAGAGGCTACAAAAACAGATTATCGCAGACGGTGAGGGCGCATCAACAGTGATTCTTGGGATCTGCAACCCGAGCAGAGATCAAAGCCGTTGATTTCATTCTTCACTAACATCTCCTCTTTCACTGCTTCTAACAATACAAATCCGCGGTAGTTTTTCCTCCTCCCCCCCCGGTAATTTTTCTAATACGATTAAATATCAATCTATTACTTCTACTAGTAATTATCTGTTTCTAACTAATATTTTAGTCAAAGCTACGTGTAAATCAACGAATTTGCTTCCGTGCTGCAATTGCGTGTGTTGATTATTATTAGCATAGATTTTTAATAGTTAATCTGGATATTAATATGATTAAAGTATTAAAACTTTTGCCTGTTTGTCATTTTTGTTGAATCTGTCGTATAAATAATAATAATATATTTAAAGCAATACGAATAACGCAGTTTTTATCTTCTTCCACACAACTAATCTAATGGTGTGGCTGTGAATCGTTGAAGACTTTGAAAACTCATCGGGTTTTGTTGACACATTATAAATATGTGGTTACATAATAAACTAATTATATTAGAACTAAACAGTACTGAAAATACAATTAATCAATGAACAAATAAATCCCTGGATTAGTAGTAATTGATTAGATTAGAACATCTGAACATGGCATGCACAATTTTTTTATATTAATTTAACCGGTTAATTTAATTTCCTTTTAAATAATAAATTAAACCCTATATATCCTTGAATTTAATATAAAATATATAAGCAAGTGGACATAAAATCATAAATTCATGAGGCAGGGCACAGGTGGTTGGGGTGCGGTGGAGGGGGGGGGGGCCTCTAGCGTGGGACGGTCTTATTCTTTAGCAGCAACTTGCCGAAAAAACAACGTACCCGTCTTGGTTCTAAAACTGGTACAAGTCAAAACTTGGTGGGGGTGGGCACTGTACTCTGTAGCTCGCCATGTTTATATATATTTAGATACATATCTATATATGTATTTTTGTATATATTGTGGGATAAAATTATGACACAGCAGTCGGATGGTAGGTGTCTAGCCCGGAAGCTCTGAGTTATTTATTTATTATTTTTGAACAATAAGTTACTGATGATGGCAATTGACGGTGAGATGAGAGTCAGAGGTTCAATTAAAGAAGAAGAGAAATTTGTTGGTGTATTTAAAAAATCTTGTGGCTGCTCGTAGTTGCAGGCCTTTGACATAATGTTATGAACGAAAAGAGAAATGAAATGAATGGTAGATAAAGAAGAAAACCCCACAAAATACAGAATCTGGTAAAGATGGGTTGGTTGGTTTGCATTTCAAATTTCAATTAATTATTAACCATAAATGTTTAATCTCATTTATTACAGATCTTTCTTATTTTATCGTCTAGTATCAATTATTGACAACAAAAAAAAAAAAACAAAAAACAAAATTTGGGAAAATTACAAAGAGGGTCTTAGATCACCAATACTCCTCAAAAGAAAATCCCGAATTAAATCCTAAATTGACGGATTAATACGAGCTTATCCATGCAGTTATACACTCTTCAAATAGAAATCTTTTTTTTTTTTTCCTGAAAGATCTTAATTTTTGGATCTCCGAGATTCTTTCGATTCGAAGCTTGCAGTAACAACAAAATCGAAAAAAAGTAAAAAGAAAGTACAATTCTTTTTTTTTATTATATTAGTATTTTCTATTCTATTAGTATTAGTTATTAATCTCGGTTCAGCGAATTCTTTCTTCCGCGATTAATTTTCATAACTTATACTGACCTAACGAATAAATTATTAAAATAAAAATATCTCAGAAATAAATTAGTGGTTAAAGTAGTTTCCTTTTTGGTACAATTCAAGTAAACCGGGATTTTGTTTTGATTTCTCAAAAGAGAATATACATTTTTTGCTATGACCACACGAGATTTAATAATAAAATTAATTTTTTTTTTTAAATGATTCTCTTTTTAAAAGATATTTTATTTTTACAAATGGGTTTGTTGATTATTATTATTATTATTTTTTATAAAAAAAAAAAGGGTTATGGAGGAAAATATCTAAGAGTTAGGCGTGCCGTATCTTTAGCTTTAATTAATTATGTATGTTTTGTCATCATCACATCTTATTGAATTTTTCAAATATGTAAAAATTAATTCATTAATTTAAATTTAAAATTTAAAATTCAAAAATCAAATATGGCGTTTAAAATTTAAAGAAAAAAATAAAATAAAAAAGTGTAGTTATTTCGCGACAACCTTCTCAATTGTCAGCAGTAAGTACGACTGTGGTTGAATATTTAGTCTTAAACGCGTTTAACATAAAAGTTTTGTTCTTGACATTGATGGAGCTCGGAAGTCAAATCCCAATCATCCTTTTTCTCCAGATGCAGAGAATTTCCTTCATTTTTCTGGGTACTGTGGGGTTGGTTTGATTGGATTCTCAGAAACCTGCAAGGAAAAAAGTCTCAGTCTTTGGAATTAAATATTTTAAAAAATAAGCTCTGTAATTTGATTAGTGAAGTTCAGTTCGTATAGTTAAATGGGTTTTTTTTTTTAATTTTAAAAATAAAAGACATCTTTCAAATACACAAGAGAGGGGGAGTAGTAAAATTAGGTTAGGTGTTGTTAGTTTTCAGAAAATATTGTTTGAACAGTTTTTTTGTAAGTTGGTAAGTTTTGAAGTGTGTATTAAATGCATAGAAAGAAGTAAAAGGGTAAAAGAATTGTAGAATGAGTCGTGGGTGTTGCTTACCTAAAAAGGGTCACTCATCAAACACACACACACACACACACCTAAAAACAGAAGCAAGCAAGGAGATAGATACACCTTCTGGATAAGCACGACAGATTCAACTCATCTTTTATCCTTTATACGTGTGTGTGTGTGTGTGTGTATGGGTGTATATATGTATATATTATTATTCCTCTTTAACCAAAATAGAAAAAGGAGAAAAAACCAATTCTGCTCGTAGCTTCTCACCCGTGTCTCCTTTTATAAGTATATAATAAAAGAGAACTTTGTTAGCAGAGGTCCAAAAAGAAAAAAAAAAAAAAAACAGATGAATCAAGTTTGAACATGTTAGAGGAGTAAAATGGCAAGGATTATGTTTAAAAACAGAATCTGTTCATATATAACATATATAATCTACTTAATAAACATGTTATAATTTATTAATCTACACACGATCTCTCTCTCTCTCTCTCTCTCTCTCTCTCTCTATATATATATATATATATATATATCGATTTGCTTATCTTAAAAGTACAAGACCAATTAACAAATTTGAAACTCAAAATTGACAGTCTCTTTATATGTATATGTCAACTGGTCCTGCTTATCCAAACGAATCATCTAACATTTCTTGACAAGCCAAATCAGTCTAAATGAATGAGTTGCCAATGTGGTGGATCTTTCTCTCTCTCTCTCTCTCTCTCTTTCTTATTTTAAATGAAAACGAGAATTACATAGACAGGCTGACATCAACCCAAATTTTTAAATGGGGCAGAATGGTTGGGTGATGGAAGCCTTATCAATTGAAACTCATACCTATATATAAAGGTTTATCCTTTAGCAAAAAACCAAATAGTTTTCAGATTGAAATGGTGACTTTATATGTCACAACCCAGTAGAGCATCATCTCTCCCAAAAGCGTAAAAGAAACCCAAATACCTCATCAATAATACAAACATCATTTAAGCATACAGCTGAGACACAGAGAGAGAGAGAGAGAGAGAGATATATATGGGAAAACAAAATCCTAACTTTCCATCTCAACAAGATCAGATGCCACTACTCTGCACCACGCCGGTCGATCCTGTTTACAATTAGTCCCTTCATAAGCTGGAATTTGAAAACAGAGAAAGACTTTTTAAAGTCAACAGCTGAATCCCATACCTTTTTCTTGA